ATTCCGTAACAGATTAGCCGCGTGTGATAATCTTCATAGATTAGATGTGGATAATACTTGTGTATTGTGCAAGGGTGGACCGGAAACGGTTCCACACCTCTACTTTGAATGCTCTTTTTCAGGAAAAGTTTGGGCTATGATGAAAGCATGGATTGGCATTCCACGAATGATGGGGACCCTAGCTAGTGCGGTCAAATGGATCAAGAAGGAAAGGAGTGGAGCCAGTGTACGAGCCAAGGCTGCCAGGATTGCTTTCTCGTGCACCATATACTCGCTTTGGAGAGTCAGGAATACAGCTCGATTTGATGATTTTTTGCCAAAGGAGGAGGAAGTTTTTGCCAGGATACAATATGTTGTCTATAAAATTCTGTATTGCATCTATCCTTATGATTTGGTAGTACTTTGATAACTTTTCGCACATCACCTATCTTTGTTTGTGATAGGCCGTGAGGTAGTATAGGAGGGGGCTGTCATGGCACCCTTATTTTGGCAGGTGATGGGTTATCCAATCTTTGGTTAGCCTACATTTTTGCTCATATATTTTCTGCTGTACAGACGAACTATTGACGGTTTTTTTCTAATATACTTACATGTTATCAAAAAAAAAAAAAAAAGGGTTTTCATTTTTAGACTCCAAAAATGAAAATTGGTCCCTTTGAAGATAGGCAGTTGATTCAATGAACTCCCACTTCCATTAGTGTTTTGCATGATGAAGAACTGCCCTCTTAGATGTGTTTTACTCTCACGAAAACACTCACACAGCCCAAGGATTGACTCCCTTAAGGATCTGATACCAAATGTAGTTCTAAACTAGGAAAAGAGAAGTATTGATACTCTAAATCCATTGCACTCAAGCTGAAGTTTTGCAGAATATTTCTTATGTCTCATACGTAAAGATCAATAGCTATTTATAGCAATTACAAGATAAAATCATGAAGCAAAAGAAACTCAACAACTTCCTAGCTATCTTCTAGGCATGATTCCACGTTCAAATAAAATGAATGGAAATGCACTAATGACTCCATAAAAATAGATAACAATAAAGACTAAATCAAATGTAAAAAACTAAGGAAAGATCATATCTTTCCATGTGTGCATGTAACTGCATGCATCTCATATACGTAGCTTGGTCAGCTTTCAACAAGGCCACTACTTGATGGAGTCAAACATGGAAGAGAGAAACGACTCCATAGAAGAGGAGGTTGGGCTGATCACAAGCAACAATGTGAAAGTAAATGTAGACGAACTGCTCAGTCAAGCGATGCAAAGTACGCTGCAGAGATTGCCGAAAGTAGTACTCCCCACATCGGCCAACTCCAGACTCATAGGCTGCATTTTACGGGTACCCCAGGAGTTCTTCAGCAGCAATTCGGAAGTTGACCTGCGTCCGTATCAGCCTTAGGCATTCTCAATCGGTCCATATATACCACCACTTGAAGCCGCATCTGCAGGAAATGCAGGAGTACAAGTGGAGTTTCCTGAAGGCAGTGGTAATATAAAGAGGACGACAGATAAAAAAATGTGGGTTTGGCACAGTATGTAAAAGCTGTCAGAGGATTAGAAGAAGCCGCGAGAGAATGCTATTCTGAGCTTGTCGATCTTAACAGTGATGAGTTTGTAGAGATGTTGATTCTTGATGGCTGCTTTGTGTATCGCATTCACCCCGTCTTTCATGTATCACTTTTCAAGAGATGTGTAGGGGCTGCAAATGCCACTAGTCCCACTTTACCACCTTATTCTGAGGATGGCCAGCCCATTATTGAACCAGATTGAGTCCTCTTCTTTTGAACATTTCACACAAATGCAGGTGTCATGCGTGAAGTGTTGTTCCAATAGACCTGTCTGAGTTCCGAGGAGGCAACATGGGAACCGGTGGACGCATTGCAAAAACAATTTCCAAACTTCAACCTTGAGGACAAGGTATGCCTTCAAGAGGGGGGCAATGATGAAGATGATCGTGGGCTGGACTGACGCCGGAGCAAGAGACAAAAGAGAGGTAATACAAGGCTACATGATTTCATTACTTAGGCCATATAGTTTACGTAATTATATATTATGATTAAAGTAATATATTTAATTAAAGTGTTATTATTGCTGCAGGTTTCCTTGGCAGTAGTTTAATTCATATAGGAGTTATTAAAGTCTTAGCAGTAACCTAGTATATTACTCTGTAGAAGTTTGAGTCCAAATACTTCTCTGTCTTGTATTCCGAACAAGTAACCTTGAGTATATATATAGATAACCCCTGGTTCATTAATAAAATATAGCATATTATTTCAGACTAACAATTGGTCTTCTATCACTATGAGATAGAATTTGGTCTTCTTTACACCGTGAGTAAAGAGCGGGTAATTCCCGAAGCTGGGCGTTTTCATCAAGATGATGGTTCTTGATGGCTGCTTTGTGGTTGAAATTCTTCGGGAATTCACTGGTGTGGTTCCCTTTGAGGACGACGATCCATTTCTTACTATGCAATGGATACTAGTTAGTCTCCGAGACGACCTCCGTCTCGATAACCAAATACCATTTTTCATGCTCCAGACATGGTGCACTTCACTAAGCTGCTTGACTTCTTTCTGTGCGTGTAGTTTTAGAGCAACCCATTAGAGAAATTAAAGCACAAAAAAAGCTCTAAATAATAGGGAGTACTTGGTAAATAATTTGTTTTAACTTATCATTTAAAAGTTAAATGTGGCTGCCTATCCAACTTGTAGAAGCATGGAAATTGCAAAGATACACAACTTTAACTCAACTTACGGTGTCACTAATTAGTGAACAAATTGGTAAATTTGTGGTCAAATAAATTAATATAATTAAAACATGATGTAAAACTTTAGTGAATGATTAATTGCTCTGTATATGATATTAGATTATATTACTCATATGACTATGACATTGTACTACTTCCGTAACGTAAATATGTTCCCATTTGAAAAGTAAATACATTAAGAATAATGAAAGGGGATATAATTATATACTATCCTCCGTTCTCTTTTAATCGCAACATTGGACTTTTTGCACTATTCACATATTCTAATTTGACTATATTTTATTCATTAATGTATTATAAATTAATTTTTAAAAAAATATTATTAAATTCTTCTCATTCTAAATTTTCAAAATATGAATTTTTTAAGTTTTTAACTAATAAGGAATGAAAGATATTAATGGTCAAACTTGTGCGTTGGCAAATGTGAAATGTTGACTGTTGCAATTAAAAGGGAACGGAGGAAGTACTTCGTAAATTATTGAGGGTATGATGACAAGATAGTGAAATAATGTGATGGAATGAAGGATAAATCCAAAAAAAAGTAGGTGTGATAGTATATTATTTTTAAAATTATTAAGGCTATGATGAAAAGATTTAGAAATGGGAAGATATGTATGTTACATCCAAATAAAGAGAGTGAGAAAATATGAATTTTACAGAAGTAGTACTTTTTAATACGAAGTACGATAGTGTTATAATTGAATATCACATTTTTATCCATTTGTTAGAAATTATTTTGAATTTATGTAGATGATCATTTTAGTTATTTTTCGTATAATTTTTTTCATAATTTTACTAATAAACTACGGAGTATAGTTTTTATAGCAATTCTACCAATTTATCTGCTTCATTGAAAATTCCATCAATGGCGGCATATCGATCGATTCAACCAATTTGTACAGCTAAACGGGCTATTATGTTACTATATTATTTACTCCCTCCGTCCCTAATAAAACTTCCAAATAGGTTTGACACACAGTTTAAGATAGTGGATATTGTGTGATAGAGAGTTGTGCAGAGGAGAGAGAAATGTGTAAGAATTGCTATGAATCACAAATTCTTTGCCAAAAAGGAAAAGTAGAAATTTTAATTGGGACAGACGAAAAAGGAAAGTTGGAAGTTTATTTAGGGACGGAGGGAGTATATAGAGAGTATTTTATGCGGAGCATTTTAATACACATACTCCCTCCGTCCCTTAAAACTTTACCATCTTTCCTTTTTGGGACATCCCAAAAAACTTTGTCACTTTCCCTTTTAATCAATTATTTTGTGGTTTCTTTTATTTCTCTCTCGTCTGCATAAACCTCAACCACACAATTTTTACTTTATTATTCTCCGTGCCGGTCAACTTTGGCAAAGTTTTGAGGGATGACGGATGTAATATTACATTTTGGCCCCACTTATACTAATGTCTGGCTCCGTCCATGCTTTTTCTTCCGTTCCAAAAAGAAATTCACTTTCCCTTTTTGGCAAAGAACTCATAGTTCACAACAATTCTTACACATTTCTCTCTCTGCATAACTCTCCATTACAAAATTCTCGCTTTCTTAATCGGTGTGTCATTTGAACTACAGAAGAACTTTCACACAGGTAATACTATATTTCAATGTAGGGACAGGGAGTACTATATTTCAATGTAAACGCTCTTTGAGGGACTAGAAGTAAGACATGCTCTAATCAGGAAGAGGAAAGAGATATTGCTCATACTCCGTATTTTGAAAAAAAAATTTGTAATCGTATTAGTTAAGCAATACAGTAGCGCCAAAGTTAATTAAAACACAAACAAAATGCATGCCAGCTTAAAGTTACTCCGTACAATAGAGTAGGGCCACTTGACGTGAAAACAGCTACGGAAGTGTACTAAAAAAAGTGTACTATATACTGTGCATTTGGTCACACTATTGTTCACAAGGACGGAGTAATTATGAGACTATTTGATAGTTCCAAGGTTCCAATGATTGGAAAATTGAAACTATGACCAAGGTTCGAATTCCCACAACGATCGAGTGGAGGTCACAGAACCTGAAATAAGGCTGGGCCTATGGTGCGCACGGGGTAAAGGCCTACTGCCACTCTGCTGACTGAGTCACCGTGACTTACATTCTCCCATATGCTCTGTCGGGTCGGGACGTGGGGGCGCTTGGGGTTGGCTATTCAACCTTTTTTGGAACTATTATGAGACTATTTCAGGTAACATGGACGGAGTAGCAGCTTTGTTAATTGCTTTCTGCTCCGTTCAAAAATACTCCAAGGACGGAGTAGTTTGGAGTATTAAACATGGAGGGCATAAACTCCATGGAAGTGGAGATGAATGTGGTGGAATCAGAGATGGAAGGGAGAAACGACTCCATAGAAGAGGAGGGTGAAGGGCTGATAAGAAGCAATAATGTGGAGGTGGATCCAGGCACACTAGTCATCCAAGTGATTCAAAGTAAGCTGATGGGGTTGCCGAAATTACTCACCCAATCGGGCCGAGTTAGATTCCAAAGTTGCATTTTCCGGGTACCACAGCAATTGTTGGGCACCAATTCGGAAGCGGACGCGCGTCCGTATCAGCCTCGCGCATTCTCAATCGGTCCATACCACCACGGGAAGCCGCATCTGAAGGAGATGCAGGAGTACAAGTTGAGGTTCCTGAAGAGACTGATACAGAGGACGATGAAGAAAAAAGGTGTGGGTTTGGCACAGTACGTAGATGCTGTCAAAGGATTAGAAGAAGAGGCCAGAGATCTGTATTCTGAGTTTATCCATCTCAGCAGCGCTGAGTTTGTTGAGATGTTGGTTCTTGATGGCTGCTTTGTGGTCGAAATCCTTCGGGCAAGTAAGCCGGGGTATTTTAAATTGGATGAGTCCGACAATCCATTGTTGTCAATAACGCAATTCATACTTCGTAATTGCCACCATGACTTGTACTGCCTGGAGAACCAAATACCATACATTGTGCTCCAGACATTGTTCACACTTACTGAAACAGAGGATGATGATTGTTATACGTTCCCCGCGGGCTGCCTCGATTCTTTGGCCAACTTGGCCATCGACTTCTTCAGGGGCATAGAAGACGGGGAGGAAGTGGACGCGGAGGAGCTACAACGCGATTATCGAGACCAACATCTACTCAATTTACTGCGGAAAAATTATTCCCTTCCGGTGGTTCCTCCCGGCAAAGCCACAAGGGCGTCATGTTTGCCTAGGCAAACAAACACGTGGGACATCAAGAGCATCTCGAAGCTTCGGCGAGCCGGAATCAAGCTGAAGGCGCAGGATGTGATGCGTAGTTTAGTGGATGTGAGATTCGAGCGGGGAGTGATCTGGATGCCGCTGCTAGTGTTGGACGACAAGATGTGCGACATCTTGCTGAACTGTGTGGCGTTCGAGATATGTGCAGAATCCTTCAAGAGGGATGGCCGTGTCATGTCCGACTACGCATGGTTTCTGTTCTGCCTCATAAAGACCGACGAGGACGTGGCCATTCTGTGCGAGGCCGAGGTCTTGCAGAACCATCTTGGGATGGCAGGTGAGGTCACCGCCTTTGTGGCCAGGCTCGGCATGGCCGCGCTGTCCAATAATGGAGGGTGTCGCACCGATTACTTTCGGGAACTGTATGGTGACGTGAACATCTACTACGACAACAATGTGCACATTTATTTGGCCGAAGGCAAGCACAAATACTTCAGCTCCCCTTGGTCCCTCATCTCACTCTTGGCTGCCATTTTTCTCCTCCTCCTCACCGTCCTCCAGACCATTGTAGCCATTTTGGATTTAAAGAAAAAGTCGTAGACAATCAATAACTTCCCAGTCCAACTGCAATTTTATTTCGCCCAGCATCCTTTTCGATCTTAGACTACCCATAAACTCAAATATGTAGTATGCTTTCAATGAATAACAGACCACCCCATCCGCATCAGTCGTGTTTTTGTAATTTGTCTAATGTTTAGATCTATTTCATACGGACTACTTTGTTCTCCCAAATATCTTTTTCTCTACATTGTTTAGATCTAATGTTTGAATCTCGCCCCTGCCACCTATAAATGTTTAATGTATTCACTAGTGGAAAAACGTTAAACTGCGGCGCGTCTTTTGCGGCGCTTAAATTATAAGCGCCTTCAAAAACTCAACGTGCGGCGCTTATATGTTAAAGCGCTGTCCCTCCGTTCACCTTTTCTATTATATATATTTTTTTAATTACGTGCGGGGCTTATTTAAATGTAAGCGCCGCAAACGATTTTCGTTTTCAATTAAATTTAAACAAAGCGGGACGCGCGTGCGGCGCCTATTATTATAAAAGCGCCGCAAATATATTAAATATTTTTTAAATTAAGTTCGCGGCACATCTTTAAAGAAAGCGCCGCATAGAGTATAAAAATTCAATTAATCGGAATAAAATTTGGACCACTTGCGTGCGGCGCATATCAAATCTAAGCGCCGCGTAGAGTTTTTAATATTTTTTTAATAAACATTGCAGCGCCTCTTTCTTATCAACGCCGCGTAGGATTAAAAAAAAATTACCCTAGCCCACCACAAAAAAATTTCCCTTACGCTGCAAAGAAGCTCAAGAATCCGCCGACAAACAACTCCTCCCGTTTGACAGGCCAGATCTGCCGGACAATCCCGCTTGGCCGCTGATAGCGTCCGTCTCCGCCAGCCACGCCTTCCTTGTCAGCCGCGACGTCCTCCTCAGTTCATCCATATCCAGCCTGCGGTCCTCTGCTGCCCGCCTCGCGGCCGGCGCCGGTAGGCGTCGAGGTCCTCTGCGGTCTGCTTCGCCGACTCTTCTCCCTTGCCTGACATTCAACTGGTATGTTTTTCAATTCAATTTTTTTATTATTTTATTTTATTATCCATTTTTTAATATTATATTATATATTAAATATGATAATAAATAAGAATGTTATTATGTGTGGAGTATGGTATGTATTTTTTTGTATATTTCAGAATTTAATTTTTTAAATTTCACTAATATTTAATAAAATATATATAGTCAAACTCTTCCGATGGAAATTTAAAGCAAAATAAACTTTTTGTTAGGTAAAAATAAAACGAAGCAGATTCTGATTTTTTTAGCTCTATTAGCTCTAGCTCATTGAGAATAAAATAAAGTATTAAATCTAAAGTAAAGCAACAACTTTCTCGCCTTCTGATGGATATTAGCTGTTATTATTATTTTTTGAAACGTAGAGATTTAAAGTAAAATAAATGTTTCCTAAACAAATAGGATTTGGAATTAAATGTATTATATTGGCTTATTTTAATAGTTTGATATGATTTGATCCAACATTAATAGTTTTGGCTTAATAATTTGATTTGGTCTCATTAACTTGATTTGATCCCACAGTTTGAATTGGCTTATTTTAATAGTATTAGATTAATTTAAATGTACTGTTTGAGATGAAGTTTTTAAATGAAGTGAAGCATATTAAATGAAGCTTTTACTTCAGTGAATAGCCTAATTTGTTCTATGTTTGACATGTAAAATATTCTCTGTTTTTTTAGTACGTAGTAATGTATTACTCATTGCATGTTCTTGATAAGACTAGAGATTTGTTTGTCATGGACCGCAATTGGATGTATGGTTTGCGAAACACTTTACAATTTTTCAATGGCGCCAATGATTTTATCAAAGTTGCCGTTGCGCACCAGAAAGGACAAGAAGAAAAAGGAATTTTATGTCCCTGTTCTATGTGTCGTAACCTCAAAAGGGAAAAAGATGTGAACATAATTCTTCAACATTTATTTGAGAAGGGTTTTAAGGAAAATTATACAACATGGACATTACATGGTGAAAAACGTGTAGATGTTGAAAACCATTATTCTGGAGTAAGTTCTAGCACTTTGAAGCGTAAAGCGGCTCATATTACTACTAATACCAATGCTAATGATGACGGTGATGGGGATGATGTTGTTAATGATGATCGAATTGATGATCTCTTGAATGATATCCCAGACAATTTTGATAATTAACCAATCACTTATGAATATCTGATTGAGGCAGCCAATACGCCCTTGTACCCTAGTTCTGCTTTCTCCAAATTGTCTGCTGTTTTAAAATTATTTCATTTGAAGGCAAAACATGGGTGGAGTAATGTGAGTTTCACCGAACTGTTGGTATTGCTCCAAGAGATGCTACCTGATGGTAATACACTCCCCGATACGAGCTATAAGGCGAGAAAGTTGTTGTGTCCTATGGGAACAGAGTGGAAGAAGATTCACGCATGTCCAGCCGATTGCATACTCTACCGCAATGAGTATGAAAATTTAGATGAATGTCCCACGTGTCACACTTCACGTTACAAGAAAAAAAACAGCATAAATGGTGCATTTGAGGATGAGAATACAAAAATACCTGCTAAGGTTTTGTGGTACCTTCCGATCATTCCTAGATTTAAAAGGTTGTTCATGAATGAAAAGGACGCAAAACATTTGGTGTGGCATGCTCAAGGCCGGAAAAAAGATGAGTATTTGCGGCACGTGTCTGATTCACCGCAGTGGAGGCAAATCGATTTGAAATATCCTAGCTTTGGTAATGAAGACAGAAATTTGAGGCTCGGATTATGCACTGATGGTATGAATCCATATGGCACGCTCAGTAGTCAACATAGCACTTGGCCAGTTTTATTGGTGATTTATAATTTGCCTTCATGGTTGTGCATGAAGCGTAAGTATATAATGTTGTCTCTTCTCATCTCTGGACCAAAACAGCCAGGTAACGATATAGATGTCTACCTTGCACCTTTGATTGATGATCTCAAACTTTTGTGGAATGAAGGTGTTACAACATATGACATGCACACAAAAATGACTTTTAATTTGCGTGCTATGTTGTACTGCACCATCAATGATTTTCCAGCATATGGGAATCTTTCTGGGTATACAGTAAAAGGTGAAAAAGCATGCCCCATTTGTGAAGAGGACACAGTTGACTTGCGATTACCCAATTGCAAGAAGAATGTATACTTGAATCATAGAAGGTTCCTTCCACGTGCACATCGTTATCGTGCACTGAAAAAGGCTTTTAATGGAAAAACTGAGCATGGTGTTCCTCGTCCTCTATTATCTGGTCGTGAGGTATATGATAAGGTTAAAGATTTGGACATAGTCTTTGGCAAGCCTTATAAGAGAAAGAAGCAAAGTTTGTGGAAGAAGAGATCTATTTTCTGGGAACTTCCTTATTGGAAAGACTTATCTGTGAGACATTGTCTCGATCTTATGCACATCGAAAAAAATGTGTGTGACAGCATAATTTCGACTATTATGAATGTTCCCGGAAAGACAAAGGATGGGATCAATATCCGGAAAGACATGGTTGAACATCTCCATATTCGAAAAGAATTGGCTCCACAACCACGACAAAATGGGGTTTATCTTCCACCCGGGAGTTATACACTGTCAAAGACTGAGAAACGGGCTTTCTGTGAATGCTTATATGGCATAAAGGTGCCTTCTGGGTATTCCTCGAACATTAAAAATCTTGTATCATTAAAGGATTTGAAATTGGTTGGTTTGAAGTCTCACGATTATCATGTTTTGATGCAACATTTGTTGCCAGTTGCTTTACGGGGACTTTTACCAGATCATGTTAGACATGCAATAATGAGGTTGAGTTTCTTTTTCAATGCCATATGCCAAAAAGTAATTCATCCCGACAAACTTGATGCACTACAATCTGAAGTGGTTGTTACTTTGTGTCAGCTTGAAATGTATTTTCCGCTTTCATTATTTGACATTATGGTGCATCTTGTTGTGCATTTGGTTAGAGAAGTGAAGTTGTGTGGTCCGGTATTCTTGAGATACATGTACGGAATGGAGAGACATATGGGATATTTGAAATCAAAGGTGAAAAATCGTTGTCATCCTGAAGGTAGTATCATCAAGGGTGTTGTTGACGAAGAAGTCATTGAGTTTTGTACACCCTATTTGATGAATGTTGACCCATTGGGTGTTCCAAAGTCAAGGCATGATGACAGAATTGAAGGCAAAGGTATTCTTGGAAAGAAAGTACTAAAGAATGTGGACCATGAGTTAGTGGAAAAGGCTCATCTTCTTGTTTTGCATCATTTAGAAATTGTTTCTCCTTTTGTGCAAAAACACATGGATGCTTTGAGAACTCAATTTCCTTTGAAAAGTGAAGTATGGTTGACTAAAGAGCACAACCGTACTTTTTCAAGTTGGTTCAAACACTTCATTTTCAATGACAAAAATGATGCTTGTAATGAGGTTGACGAAGATATTAAGTGGTTGGCTTATAAACGCGCAATTGATTCGTATGAAGCATATGATATCAATGGCTACACCTTTTATACTACCCGACAGGATGCCAAATCTGTATTACAGAATAGCGGGGTATCAGTGGTAGCAGCTTCGGCAGAATATGCAAGTTCAAGTGACCAAAATCCGCTTTATGCTAAGATGTGTTACTATGGCAAGATCGAGGACATATGGGAGTTGAACTACACGAACAGAACTTTTTCACTCTTCAAATGTCAATGGGCCGATATCCGAAGAGGTGTTCAACATGATCAAACAGGAGTCACATTAGTGGATTTTACCCGACCTGGATATCGTGACGATCCATTCATACTTGCATCACAAGCGGAACAAGTATTTTATATAGGGGATCCTTCAAATAAGCGATGGTGTGTCGTTTTACCTGGCAAGAGAAAGTTAAATGTCGATGATTTTGAAGGTACTGAAGATGATTATGTTGAAGATATGCCATCGTTATCTGTAGGCATGCATGAAAGAAATGTGACATATGATTACAATGAAGATGATCTTCCGTTTGTGGGAAATCATAACGACGGCATAGAAATTCACTTTGAAAAGTCAAAGTGATAGCATGATACATGACTACAATTGTAAGTTGTCTTAAATACGCATGTTTGATTTTATTTTTTGTAAATATCTACAAAAAAAATATGTACTAATTTTTTTCATTATGTTGCAGGATATGAGTGATTCAGACGGGGATGATTCGAGCCACGAGGAGGAAGTTCATGGAGGTGATATCGTCCCCGGGCGAAGGGCTAGCGACGGGAGGAAAATCATTGATTTTGCTGAGAATGGTCAGGCAATTGGC